GGAAGTGGGGAAGGAGAGGGTGGTGTGGGAAGAGAGGAGGAGGAGGTGGAAGGAGAAGGGGAGGAGGAGGAAGTGGAAGGAGAGGGGGAGGAGATAATGTGTATGGACGAGGATAAGGCGGAAGAGGTGGGAGAGGAGAAAGAGGAGGAGGAAGAAGGGGAAAAAGAGGAGGTTGAAGAGGAGGTTGAAGAGGAGGAACTGAATGAGGAGATGGAGGAGTTTGAGAAGAAGGAAGAGGGGATGGAGGAGGAAGAGGAGGAGGATGAGGAGGTGGAGGAAGAGGAGACGCAGAAAGAGGAAGAGGTTACTGACTTCGCATCAGCTGATGACGTGGCAGTTGCTGAGAAACGTGGTGATGACGTGGATGCTCTTAGCAGTGAGGATGATGACGTGGTGGAGGTCCCATTGGATCAGGAACAGGAGCTGACGTGGCCTCTTGGTGGGAATGTTAATCTAGGTGTTGCTAATGGTAGTAGTGATGCTGCTGCTCCGGAGAATGGAAGTGCTGCTGGTGAAGCAGGAGAGGGAGACGCAGCAGAACGGGTGGCCGCAGAACGAGAAGCAGCAGAAAGAGAGGCAGTAGAAAGGGAGGCAGTAGAAAGGGAGGCAGCAGAAAGGGAGGCAGTAGAAAGGGAGGCAGCAGGAAGGGAGGCAGCAGAAAGAGAAGTGGCAGAAAAAGAAGCAGCAGAGAGAGAGGCAGCAGAAAGGGAGGCAGCAGAAAGGGAGGCAGCAGAAAGAGAAGTGGCAGAAAAAGAAGCAGCAGAGAGAGAGGCAGCAGAGGAACGAGCACGAGAAGAAGCAGAGGGAGCAGAGGGGGCAGAAGGGGCAGAGGGGGCAGAGACAGCAGAAATGGCAAAGGCAGGCGAGGAGGCAGAGCGGACAGAAGGGAGAGAAGGGAGAGAGGGGGCAGTGACAGCAGAAATGGCAAAGGCAGGAGAGAAGGCAGAGGGGGCAGAAGGGAGAGAGGGGGCAAAACGGGCAGAACGGGCAGAGGGGGCAGAGGCAGCAGAGGCGGCAGAGGTAACAGAAGAGGTAGACGCAGAGGAGACAGGGGCAGCAGACGCTGGCATGGCAGCACAAGGAACAAGCGTGGAGGATTCTCGTAAGTCGGAGGCTGCCTTTCCTTTGCCCTTGCCGTTGTCAACTTCGGAATCCCACCACAAGGCACCTGTGACTCACAATCAAGTCTTCGAATCCCACAAGCCGCCTGTTGCTTCAGACCAGAGATGCTCAGCAGCTGACTTAGAACCTCAGTCTCCCAACAAGCCACCTGTGGTCTTTCAGCACCACCAGCAGGAAAGCACAGCTTTTGCTGAGCCGACCCAACAGCAGGTTCCAGAATCTCAGTCTCACTACGAGCCACCTCAGACCTTTCAGCACCAGCAGGAATTCCCAACTGTGGTAGCTGCTCCGGTCGCTTGTTATCCAGGTTACAGTGTTACCAACCGGATGTATCACCTGCAATCGATGGTGCCGGCGGGTGAGGGTACTGAGGCGAGGCCAGCTGATGTGACACTCCCTGGGTCAGATGTTGCCAGCAGAGCAGCTGACGTGGCGAGCAGAGCTGCTGACGTGGCAATATCTGAGGCTGACATGGTTGACAGGGCAGGTGACGTGGCAGAAGCGGATGTTGCAGCAGGAGAGGCAGCAGAGGCAGCAGAGGAAGAAAGCCTCTCTCCCTCTCTCTCCTCCTTTCCATCCCCCTTTGCATGCTTCTCGTCCTCTCCTCTCTTGTCTCACTCTCTTCCCTGCCCTCCGCTGCCCTCCCCTTCCTTCCCTTCTCCTACTGACTGTATTGAGATGTGGCCTGTTGCTGAAGGGACCCTTGCCCCCTCTTCCCTCCCTACTTCCCTTCCCGCCTCCTTCCCGTCTGCACTCAAGGCATCTTTTCCTTCCTCTGTTCCACCCTCCCTCCCGTCTTCCTCGTCGCTACCCTCCTCTCTTCCCTCCTCTTTTCCGTCCTCACTCCCCTCCTCGCTCCCACCCTCTGCTCCCGCCTCTCTTCCCTCCTCGCTCCCCTCCTCGCTTCCACCCTCGCTTCCCTCCTCTTTCCCCTCCTCCTCCCCTACCGCCTCTCCTCCTTTCTCCCCGCCTCCCCTATCCCACACCCCTGTGGATGTCTTCTCGTTTTACAAAGCGTGGGCGCAGCGTAATGACCCTGGCACTTACCTAAGTGCGAGTGCGGCAGTGGGGGAAATGCAGGTAACGGAAAGGGGAGCTGGGAAGGAGGTAGAGGAGGGGACAGCTGTAGGCAGTCCGATGAGAGAATGGGAGAAGCAGGAGGAAGAGAAAGAGGAGAAGCAGGAGGAGAAGGAGAAGGAGGAGAAGAAGGAGGAGGTGGAGCATGTGGAGGAGGAGAATGTGGAGGAGATGGAGGCGGAAAGGGACGGGCAGAAACAGCAGGAGGTACATTTGGAGCGACAGGAGGAGGTGAAGAAACATGAGCAAGAGGATCAACAGGAGCGACAGGAGGAGGTAAAGAAACATGAGCAAGAGGATCGACAGGAGCGACAGGAGGAGGTAAAGAAACATGAGCAAGAGGATCGACAGGAGCGACAGGAGGAGGAGGTAGAGAAGCAGGAGCAAGAAGAGGAAGTGAAGGTTCAAGAGCAGCAGCAGGAGAAGCAAGAGGAAGGGACAGGGGAGGAGCTGCAGGAGCAGCTGCAAGATGAGCAGCAGGAGGAAGAAGGACAAAAGCTGCAGCAGGAACTTGAGGGGCGGCATGAGGAGGAACAGGAGGGAGAGGAGGAGCAGGATGGAGAGGGAGAGCAGCAGAGCCTGGATCAGCAGGAGGTGCAGGAGGAGCAGGAGAAGCAGGAGGAGCAGCAGAGGCAGGAGGAGCAGGCAAACGTGCAGCAGCAGCAGCAGCAGCAGCAGCAGGAGGAGGAGGAGGCTCAGGGTGAGCAGATTCAGGCAGGGCAACAAGAGGAGATGGGGGAAGAGGAGGCAGAGGAAAGGGAGGAGATGGAGGAGGAGGAAGAGGAAGAAGAAGAGGAGGAGGAGGCAGAAGTTCTAGATGTGGATTGGGTTGGATATGAGGAGGTGTGGGAGGGGAGGGGCGGGCGGACAAGTGTTAAGCCAGGGGGGGAGAGAGAGGAGGAGAGTGAGGGTGGGGATCTAGACGAGGAAGGGGATGGGGGGGAGGGGGGAGGAGAGGAGGAGGAAGAGGAGGATGTTGCGAGTGATGTGACTGAAGCAGCTGCTTCGGATGAGGTGGAGTGGGAGTCGTGTCGTGCAGTGATGGATGCTTCGGTGATTGACTCTGAGCCGCCGCCGCCACAAGATGCTGCTGTTGCTGTTGTTGGTGGTAATGCTGTGCATCTGCTTCTTACCAGTCCTGCTGCTCCTGCCGCTGCTGCCGCCGCCGCTGGTCATGCTGGGTTTGCTGCTGCCTCTGCTCCTGCTGCAGCTGAAGCTGCTGCTGTAACTGCTGTTGCTGTTGGTGGTGCTGGTGTTGCTGGTGCAGTTACTGTGGCTGCTGGCACTGGTGTTACAGGTGGGACTATCAGAGAAGGGCTTTTAGAAGGTTCAGGGTTTATGGAAGGAGTAGGGTTTGTGGAGGAGCTAGGGGGTGCGTTTGAAGCTCCCAAGACCCCTCAAGCGGATGACGAGAGTGGTGAAGTGCGGGATTGGAAGAGAGGGAAACATGGGGAGGAGGAGGAGGAGGAGGAGGAGGAGGAGGAGGAGGAGGAGGAGGAGGAGGAGGAAGAGGAGGAGGAGGAGGAGGAGGAGGGGAAAGCAAGAGGAGCAGCAAAAGGAGGAACAAGAGCAGGTCGAGAATGAAAGTAAGGAAGAAATGATCTGGCACAATGAAAGCGAGAACGTTTCTAAGGATGGTGTTGGGGAGGATATACAGGTGGCAGCACTGATGGAAGGGGCACCTGAGGTGGCAACAGCTGACGTGGCAGCAGCTGACGTGACAGCTGATGTCGTAGTTGATGTGGCACCTGACGTGGCGGCTGATGTAGTAGCTGACGTGGCGGCACACATAGCAACAACTGCAGTGGTCGAAATTGCGGCAGAAACGGAAGTGGAAGCAGTAGCAGAAGCTGAAGCTGAATTTGCTGCAGGGGAAGAAGTAGGTGCGGAGTTAGAAGGACAAGTATGTGCAGAAGCAGCAGAACTAGCGGTTAGAACAGATTTTGAGTCGGAAGTAGCAGCAACAGAAGAAGAGCTAGAAGCAGAAGTAGAAGCAGGAGTAGAGCTGGAAATAGTGATAGAAGCAGAAGCAGGAGAAGTAGAAGCAGGAACAAAATTGGCAACAGAGTTAGCAATGGCTGCAGACGTTGAAGCAGAAGCAGAGACAGAGGTGGAGGCGGCTGCAGAAGAAGCTTCTTTTCAAGGAGAAGCAGAATTTGAGGCAGAGGTAGCAGCAGGAGCTGAGGCTGAAGCAGAAATGAAAATGGAGAGAGGAGAGGGCGGAGCAGCAGAAGCAGAAGAAGCTGACTTAGCAGCAGACGAGGTAGCTATGCTTGAAGGATACGCTGGGGTGGAGGCAGCAGCAGAAGCAGAAGAAGTCAAACTAGCAGCAGATTCAGCTGCAGACCTGGGAGAAGCTGTGGAAGCAGAAACAGAGATGAAATTGCGAGCTGATGAAGAAGCTATGCTGCGGGGAGCGGCTGAGGTGGAGGAGGTAATTGGAGAAGCAGAGGGAGAAGCAGAAGAATCAGAGGCAGGAGATATGGCGGCCAGTGTAGCAGCACATGTAGAGGCAGAAGTAAGAGCAGACGAAGAAGGTATGCTTCAGAAAGCGACTGCGGTGGGGGTAGGAGCAGATGCAGCAGAAGTAGTAGAAACCTCAGCAGCAGCAGATGCAGCAGAAGTAGTAGAAACCTCAGCAGCAGCAGATGCAGCAGAAGTAGTAGAAACCTCAGCAGCAGCAGATGCAGCAGAAGTAGTAGAAACCTCAGCAGCAGAAGATGCAGCAACAGGCGTTTCAGTTTGTGCGGAAGCAGAAACAGAGGCAAAAGTACAAGTAGTTGAAGAACCTATGTTGCAGGAAGTGGCTGGAGTGGAGGAAGAAGCAGAGGCAGAGAGATGGACAGAAGCAGATATAGAGGCAGAGGCAGAGGCAGAGGGGGAGGCAGAGGGAGGGGCAGGGGCAGATGGAGAGGCAGAAGAAGAGGCAGAGGCAGAGGGATCGACTGAGGCAGATATCGAGGCAGAGACAGAGATAGAGGCTGAGACAGGGGCAGGGGGAGAGGGAGAGGGAGAGGCAGAGGCGGAGGCAGAGGCGGAAGGAGAGGTAGAGGTAGAGGCAGAGATGGCTGTGTATTTGGAAACAGGTGATGGAACACGAGAAGCTGTTGGTATGGAGGCAGAGGGAGCAGAGGAGAATGAGGTAGCAGGGGAGGAGGTAGAGAAAGGAGGAGAGGAAGCGGAGGGAGGAAAAGAGGAGGTGGAGGTAGGAGGAGAGGAGGTGGAGATAGGAGGAGAGGAGGTAGGAAGACAGGAGGTAGAGGTAGGAGCAGAGGAGGCCGGGACAGAGATAGAGGCTGAGGCAGAGACGGTTGTGTACTTGGAAACATGTGACGGAGGAGGAGAAGCAGCTGGGATGGAGAGAGAGGGAGAGACAGAAGCAGAGGCAGAGGCAGAGGCAGAGGCAGAGGGAGAGGCGGAGGGAGAGGCGGAGGCAGAGGGAGAGGCAGAGGGAGAGGCAGAGGGAGAGGCAGAGGGAGAGGCAGAGGGAGAGGCAGCGGTAGAGGCAGCGGCGGAGGCACAGGGAGAGGCAGAGACGGTTGTGAACATGGAAACATGTGACGGAGGAGGAGAAGCAGCTGGGATGGAGGCAGAGGGAGAGACAGAAGCAGAAGCAGAGGCAGAGGCAGAAGCAGAGGGAGAGAGAGAGGCAGAGGCAGGGGCAGAGGCGGAGGCACAGGGAGAGGCAGAGGCGGAAGCAGAGGGAGAGGCAGAGGCGGTTGTGTACTTGGAAAAAGGTGACGGAGGAGGAGAAGCAGCTGGGATGGAGGCAGAGGGAGCAGAGGAGGTGGAGATAGGAGGAGAGGAAGTAGAGGGAGGAGGAGAGGAGGTAGGAGGAGAGGAGGTTGCTGTTCCTCATCCTCCCAAAAGCAGCTCCGTCCTCACCTCCCCTGCTCTTGCTGCTCTCCCCACTGCTCCTCCCTTGTCCTTGTCAACACCTGTGGCACCTGGGGTACCAGCGGTGGCAATAGCTGCAGCACCAGCACCATCTGTAGCAGCACCATCTGTAGCACAACCAGTGTCTCTGGCGTGTGTAGCAGCGGCTACAGGGCTGGACACGGCCCATGCACTGGTGGTGTCACCTGTAGCACCTGCGGCAGCTGTAGCACCTGTGGTGCCATCAGTGGCTGTAGGTGCAGCAGCAGCAGCAGCACCATCTGTAGCACAACAACCAGTGTCTCTGGCGTGTGTAGCAGCGGCTACAGGGCTGGACACGGCCCATGCACTGGTGGTGTCACCTGTAGCACCTGCGGCAGCTGTAGCACCTGTGGTGCCATCAGTGGCTGTAGGTGCAGCAGCAGCAGCAGCACCATCTGTAGCACAACAACCAGTGTCTCTGGCGTGTGTAGCAGCGGCTACAGGGCTGGACACGGCCCATGCACTGGTGGTGTCTCTTGCCCTGCAACGAGCTAAGGTCCGCGCTGCCGCTGCCACTCCTGCTGTGGCCGCTGCAGCTACTGCTGTTGCTGCTGCTGCTGCTGCTGTTGCTGCTGCTTTTGTCGCTCCTGCTGCCGCTCTTGCTGCTGCTCCTGCTCCTTTTCCTGCTCCTTTTCTTGCTCCTGCTCCTGCTCCTGCTCCTGCTCCTGCTCCCGCTCCTGCTCCTGCTGCTGCTGGTGGTGCTGCTGCTGGTGGTGCTGCTGCCCTTGCTGCCTCTGCTATTGCACCTTCCACTCTTGCTGCTGCTTCCCTCGGAAGGCCCACAACAGCACAGGCCACGCCATCACCAGCAATTGAATTACAGAGATCGCAACCACCATTAGCATCACCACCGCTAGCACCTCTAGCAGCACCACCACTACCACCACCACCACTAGCACCACCACCACCACGATTGCGATCGCCATGGGGGGATGAGGAGCTACCACCAGGCGTGGATCGACCTGTGTCTTTTGAGGCGCCTCAAAAGTCGTTCATCACTGCCACCAGGCGGGAGGAGGCCCATGCATCGATCGCAGGTGGGAGTGGGAATTCCATCCGTGCCTCCTTCAGCAGCAGCAAAACCGCTCATAGGTGGGGTTACTACCTCCTCGTTTCCCTCCTCCTTCTCCTCCGTTTCCTCCTCTTCTTCTTCCTCCTCCTCTTCTTCCTCCTCATCCTCCTCCTCATCAGCAGCAGCGGTATGTGTAGCGGCATGGCATGCGTGGGCCGGCGGTGCTGGCATGGGGCGAACCACTCCTGCTCTTGCTCCTCTGCCTCCTCCTGCGCTTGCCCCGCTGCCTCCTCCTGCCCTTGCCCCTCTGCCTGCTCTCGCTCCTCTCCCTTTGGTTCCTCCTACTTCAGCTGTCGCATCTCCACTTCCGCTCGCTGCTGCTCCTGCTGCAGCTGCTTCTTCTGCTCCTGCTTTTTCTTCTGCTCCTGTGTCTGCTGCAGTTCCTCAAGCATCTGTTGGTGGGTCTGGCAAAAGGAGTGCGGCATCAGTAGCACCAGCAGCAGCCGCAGCAGCAACGGCAGCAGAAGCAGCAGCAACAGCACCAGCTACTGGTGCAGCTGGTAGTTCTGGCTTGTTGTTGCCTCCGTTTTTCTCACAAGCAGAAGGCAAAGATTCTTTGGCCAGGATTGTCGAGGCATATGCTGCTGCTAGCGCTGCCAATAGTACACCTGATGTAGCGGCTGGTATTGAGGCGCCTCAGATGGCATGTGCTGCTGGTGCTGCTGGTGCTGCTGGTGCTGCTGGTGCTGCTGGCTTGTTGTTGCCTCCGTTCGTCTCACAAGCAGAAGGCAAAGATTCTTTGGCCAGGATTGTTGAGGCATATGCTGCTACTAGCGCTGCCAACAGTAAGCCTGCTGCAGCGGCTGGTTTTGCGCCGTCTCAAACGTTGGCATGCGCTGTTGGTGCTGGGAGCAGTAAGTCTGCTGCATCGGCACTGGCGGCAGGAGAAGCAGTAGGGCTGGTTTCGGCAAGTGAGATTGAAGAAGGGTTTGGCAGAGAGAAGACATTGTGTGGGACCAGCAATCGGGGTAGTGGAGTAGTTGGGATTATTTCCGAGGCTCCTAAAAAAGCAGCAGCTGCTGCTGCAGCGGTTGAGATAGACAGAGGAGGGATTGGCAGAGAGGAGGTGAAGGGTGGGGTCTACAAGCAGGGGATTGGAGGAGCTGGGATCTGCTTTGAGGAAATGGAGGATGATACCAGCATACGTGCTGGGTTGGGGGAGGTTCGTGTGGGGGAGGTACATGTGGGGAAGGTTCAAGTGGGGGAGGTTCATGTGGAGGAGGTTGTTGGATCACCTGAGGAGAAACATGATGAGAAACATGAGGAGATTGGTTTCTACTTCCCTTATTCTGACAGCTCACCGGAACGCCCTGACAGCTCAGCTGACCACTCGGACAGCTCACTCGAAGGTCCTGACAGCGCATCGGAGGATTCCGACAGCTCACCTGGCAAGGCCCTCAGCGAGCCTCCTGAACTTTCACCTGAGAAAGCACCTGAGCTACATGCTGCCGAAACATTTGAGTCTTGTCAGGAAGCACCTGAGGGTTGCAAAACTTCACGTGAAATTCAAATGGCCGATCTATTTGGGCCTTCACCTGAAGGTTCACCTGAGCCAGGCTACTGGGCACCTGAAACAGCTGATTGGACGTTTGAGGATGGGGGTGGTGCACCTGATGCTGATGCTGATGCTGCCGTTGATGCTGATGCCAAGACTGGTTCCGACACCAAGGCTGAGCCTTCACCTGAATTTTCACCTGAAGATGCTCCTGAGCTAGGTTACTGGGCACCTGAAACAGCTGATTTGGCACCCGAGGATGGGGTTGTTGCATCTGATGCCGATACTTCTGATGCCGATACTGCTGATGCCGATGCTGCTGATGCCGATACTGCTGATGCCGATGCTGCTGATGCCGATGCTGCTACCGCTTCTATTTTGGCTGATGCTGCAACAACTGTGCTAGCTGATGCTTATGCTGATGCTGAAGCTGATGCGAATGCTGCTGCTATTACAACAACTACTGACTTGGCTGCTGCAACAACTGCGCTTGCTGATGCTTATGCTGATGCTTATGCTGATGCTGATGCTGATACTGATGCTGATGCTGATGCTGATGTTGATGCTGATGCTGATGCTGATGCTGGTGCTGATGTTGATGCTGATACTGATGCTGATGATGCTACTGGTGCTGGTGCTGATGTTGATACTGCTATCGAGACTGCCGTTGGTGCTGCTGCCACTGTTGATGCTGCCACTGTTACTGAAAACACTACAGCTGCTGCTACCTCCGACAATGCTGCGACAGCTACTGCATGCACCTCTGCGGCTACAGCGAGCACCTCTGCGGCTACTGCATGCACCTCTGCGGCTACTGCATGCACCTCTGCGGCTACTGCATGCACCTCTGCAGCTACTGCATGCACCTCTGCGGCTACTGCATGCACCTCTGCGGCTACTGCATGCACCTCTGTGGCTACTGCATGCACCTCTGCGGCTACTGCGAGCACCTCTGTGGCTACTGCGAGCACCTCTGCGGCTACTGCATGCACCTCTGCGGCTACTGCATGCACCTCTGCGGCTACTGCATGCACCTCTGCGGCTACTGCTGCAATCACTTCTGCCGATGAAGATCCTGTTATTCACGATGCTCCTGCTACCACTGTTGGGGCTGCAACTGCAACAGAAGATACTTCTGCTGCCATTGACGCAACTACTCCTCCGGCTGATAATACACACAATGCCACTGCCACCACCGCCAGTGCTACCACTGCTGCTGAAAATACTTCTTCTGCTGTGACCGATACAGCCAACCCTGCTGATATTGATGCTCCTGCCAATAATGCTCCTGTTACCACCGCCAATGCCATTGCTGATAATACTTCTCCTGCTGTGACTATTCCTGCTGACATTGACGCTCCTGCTGATAATGCTCCTGCTACCACCAAACCTGCCGCGCCCTCTTGCTTACCTCCTATGGGCAGCATGACTTCTTCTCTTCCCCCACCTTCTCACCCGCCATCTTCCCACCCCCCATCTTCCCACCCCCCATCTTCCCACCCCCCATCTTCCCACCCGCCATCTTCCTTTCCCCCTATTGGTGCAGTATCCCGCCTTCCCCCCATAGGCGCAGCTGCGTCTCTCCCCCCCATTGGCGCAGCAGCATCTCTTCCCCCCATCCTTCCCCACATGCCCCACTCTTTCCCCTTCAACCCCTTTCTCCCCTTCCCCCTTGGCCCCTTCCCTCCCCTTGGTTACAACTCGGGTTACCACCAGCTCCCTCCCGCTCAAATGCGCTTCCTTAACAGAACTGCTGGATTCGGAAATGTTTCTACTTTTGGAAATGTTCCCACTTGGGGAAATGCTGGGCTTGGTGCAGCTGGTGAAGGGAATCGTTTTCCTGGTGAGGCTGGTGCAACTGCCAGCTTTGGTGGTGCTGCTGCTGCTCCTGCAAGATCGACTGCTCGCTCTGCCGCTGCTGCTGCGGCTCCTGCTGCTGCTGTGCTGCTGCTGCTGCTGTTCCTGCTGCTGCTGCTGCTGCTGCTGCTCCTGCTGCAACACCTCCCGCTGCTGCTGATTCTGCCTCCCCCCCTGCTGCCGTGGCTGCATCGGCTGCACCTACTTCTGCAGCCGTTGCAACTCTCGCTGCTGCTGCTGCTGCAGAGTCCGAACCAGCTGGGGCCAGAGCAGGAGTAGCAACTACCACAGGTGGTCCCCCTGGGCCTTCTGGGAAAACCACTGCTTCACGAGACAGCGCGGCTTTCAAGAGGCCTAGAGAAGTCGGCCGTGGAAGGTTTGGTGGCGGTGCTGGGGTTGCTGTTTCTGGGAAGCAAGGGAGAGTGTGGCAGGGCAGGACGGTCAGCAGTGATTGGGAGGAGACTGGTGGTGGCAGGGAGTGGCAGGGGGGGGCCAGCAAGGAGTGGCTGGATGCTCCACTGGTGTTTGGTCTGAATGTGATTCCACCAGGGGCTGTTGTAAAGGAGACGGGTGGTGCTGCAGCAGAGGCAGACAGGGAGGATGGAACGAAAGGTGGGTCGACTTTGTGTGAGGGAGAAAAGGGAGTGGAGAAAGGGAAGGGGGCGGGTGGGGAGCGGGAAGGTGGGAAAGCGGCAGGTGAGAGAGGGGCAGGTGAAGACGAGGCAGGTGGAAAGGGGACGGGTGAAAGGGGCGCAGGAGGAAAAAGGGCAGGCGAGAAAGGGGCAGGAGAAAAGGGGCTAGGAGAAAATGGAACAGGTGGTGCAGGTGAAAAAGTTGCAGGTAAAAAAGGGGCAGGTAAAAAAGGGGCAGGTGAAGGTTCAGCAGGTGAAATAGGGGCAGGTGAAGGTTCAGCAGGTGAGATAGGGGCAGGTGAAAAAGGGGGAAGTGAGCCTAAACTGGAATTGATGCATCCTATTAAGCCTGCAAACCCAGAAAGATTTGATCAAGAAGCGAGCGTGGGTGTGAGTGGGATGAGTCGACTTGGAAAGGCGGATGAGTTAGAAGCAGGTGTGGGTGTGTTGAACTCTCTGCTTGGTTATGGGACGGATGAAGAGCGTGAAGAGGAAGAAGAGGTGGAGGAGGGAGGTGAGGGAGAAAAAGGCAAGGGAGGGAAAGGAGAGGAGGGAGCAGGAAAGGAAGCTGGTGCTGCTGCTGGTTCTTCTGCTGCCGCTGTTGCTACTGCTGCTGCCACTCCCGCTGCTGCTGCTACTGCTGCTGATGCGGTTTTTGGTGGTGGTGCTGCTGCCAATCCTAAAACTTTGGTAGTGGTAGCAGCACCTGCCGTGGTCACTGCTGCTGCTGCTGTAGCTTTGATAGCAGAGGCCGGAGTGAGGGAAGGGAGGGGGTGAAAGGGAGGGAGGGGGTGGAAAAGGAGAAGGGAAGTGACGGGAGGGAGAGGGAGAAAGGGAGGGAGGGGGTGGAAAAGGAGAAGGGAAGTGACGGGAGGGAGAGGGAGAAAGGGAGTGAGGGGAGGGAGAGGGAAAAAGGAAGTGAGGGGAGGGAGAGGGAAAAAGGGAGGGAGGGGAGGGACAGGGAGAAGGAGAGGGAGGGGAAGGAGCAGGAGAAGGGGAGGGATGGATGGGAGAGGGAGAAGGTTAGTCTTGGAAGGGAGAGGGAGAAGGAGAGGGAAAGGAGCGAGAAGGAGAAGGGGAAAGAATGGAGGGAGAGGGAAAAGGGGAGAGATGGGTGGGAGAGGGAGAAAAGGAGGGAGGTGGATGAAAGAGAGACAAGGGGTAGCGGGAATGTAGGAGGCGAGAGAGACGTTAGAGGGTCAACAGAGAGGGGGAGGGAGTTGGTGCATGCGACAAGAATGAGGGGCAGCAGCAGTAATGTTGGAGGAGGCAGGGAAATTGGTAGGGAAGCGCACGAACGAGACATGGGAAGGTCAGCAGAGAGGGAGAGGGAGTTGGTGCATGCGACAAGAATGAGGGGCAGCAGCAGTAATGTTGGAGGAGGCAGGGAAATTGGTAGGGAAGCGCACGAACGAGACATGGGAAGGTCAGCAGAGAGGGAGAGGGAGTTGGTGCATGCGACAAGAACGAGGAGCAGCTGCAGTAATGTTGGAATAGGCAGAGATATCGGAAGGGAGGCACGTGGACGAGATATGGGAAGGACAGGAGAGAGGAGGAATGTGGACGTGACAAGACCGTGGGGCAGTGAAACGCGGGGCAGCGATACGAGGGGCAGCGATACGAGGGGCAGCGATACGAGGGGCAGCGATGCGAGGGGCAGAGATACAAGGGGCAGCGATGCGAGAGGCAGCAGTATTCTTGGGGCAGGCAGGGATATTGGAAGGGAAGCATGTGAACGCGATATGGGAAAGGCAACAGAGAGGGGGGGTAGGGTGGATATGACAAGAACGAGGGGTCGGACTTCTGTAGAGTTGGGAGGATTGGAAGGGGAGAGACAAGGGTGCTGCAAGCACTGCAATGGCAGGAAAGGGAGGAGGGGAAGGAGGAGCAAGGGAAAGAGGAGGGGGGGAAAGAAGAGGAGCAAGAGGAGGGGGGGAACGAGGAGGGGAAAGAGAGCGAGGGGAAAGAGGAAGAGGGGAACGAGGAGGAAGGCAAAGAGGGGATGGGGACACTGTCAGCAGCCAGAATGCAGCAGGAGGAGCAAGAGAAGGAAAGGAAGTAAAGGACGGAGGGGAAGGCACTGCGACGGAACGAGCAGGAAGAGATGACGTGAAAGGACGCGGAGGAGAAAGAGGTTTACTTGAGATGGTGAAGGAAGAGGAGAGAAAGAAAATCCAGGTTTTGAAATCGGCGACAGAGACAGGGAAAGAGGAAGAGGAAGGCAGGGGTGGTGGTGTGAGGAAAGGCAGTGGGCCAGGAGCAGGGTGGGAAGAGGAGAGAGGTCTCGTTTTGAGGCACCTCAAAACGAGGTCTCGTTTTGAGGCGCCTCAAAACGAAGGCGGGGGCGGTGGTGTGAGGAAAGGCAGTGAGCCAGGAGCAGGGTGGGAAGGTCGAGAACGATCTGAGGCGGTGCAAATGACAGGGAATGAAAGGGAGAGAGAGGAGGGTGGTGTGCAGGGAGAGGGTGGGGCAAGAGGAGGTGGAGGAGGAGTAGGGGGTGGTGAGAAGAAAGGGGAGGAGAGCCTGACAGTAAAGGCGGTAGGGATGGAAAGGGTAACGACAGGAGTGCTGGCAGCAGCGGCGGCGCTGGTGGTAGTGGTGGTAGTGGCAGGAGAGAGAAGGCGGGACAGGGAGTAGGCTCGACCAGAAAAGGAGGGATGGTTGGTGGTGGAGGGGGTGGTGGGGGGAGTGGTGGTGATGATGATGGTGATGGTGATGATAATGCTAGGGATTGGGACCGGAAACGGGCGTTGGGGGGTGATAAGGGCAAGGGAGGGAGGAGGAAAGAGGAAGAGGAGGAGGAGGGGGGGGAAGGGAGGGAGAAGAAGCGAAGGAAGGAGGAGGAGAAGCGTGGGGAGGGGAAAGATGTGAAGGAAGGGGAGGAACAGGAGAGGCGAAATGCGGAGATAGAGAAGAGTGGGAAGGTGGAGGGAAAGGGAGGTGGTGTGAGTGTGGGTCATCAGGGGGGGGAGAGGAGGGTTGAGAGGAGGGTTGAGAGGAGGGTTGAGAGGAGGGATGAAAAGAAAGAGGAAAGTGGAAGGGGTGATAGGAGAAAGGGGGAGGATAAGAGAAGGGAAGAGGATAGGAGAAGGGAAGAGGATAGGAGAAGGGAGGAGGATAGGAGAAGGGAAGAGGATGGGAGAAGGGTTGAAAAGGGGATACGAAGGGAGGAGGATAAGGGGAAAAAAGAAGAGGATAAGAGAAGGAGTAGGGAGGACGAGGAGAGGAAGGAGGAGGGAAAGAGAAAGGAAGAGGAAAGGAGAAGGGGGGAGGAAAGGAGAAGGAATGCGGTTAGTAAGTATACTAGAAGTGGAAGGGAAGGTAAGAGGGAAGTGGAAAGGGAAGGTATTTTGCAGAAAAATAAAATGAGCGAAAAGAAGGATGAGAAGAAGGATGAGAAGAAGGATGAGAAGAAGGATGGTAAGAGGGACGAGATGGAAGAAGAGGGTAAGAAGGGTGAAAGGAAAGAAGAGAGGAGGGAGGAAAAGGCAGATGGGTGGAAAGAGGAAAAGAAGGATGAGAAGGAGGGGAATTGGGAGGTTAGGAAGGAGGAGGAGAAGGTTGGGAGGAAAGAGGAGAGGCGGGAAGATAAAAATGAAGATAAAAATGGTACAAGGCAGGAGAGAGGGAGAAACAGTGGGGGGGAAGTAAAGGGGCCGAAAAAGAGAAAGGCGGAGAGAAGGAGGGGGGAAAGAAGGGGAGAAGGAGCATGGGGAGAAGAGAGGACGAGAGGGTGGGAAGGAGCATGAGCAAAAGAGGGAAAGAAGGGGCACAGATCATGAAACAAACGAGGAGAGGAAGAGGAGGAAGGTGGAGGAGGAGGAGGAGAAGCATCGTCACGTGCAAGAGAGGGCGGAGAAGGAGAGGAGGGAGAGCGAAAGGGGAGAGAAGGAGAGGAGGGACAAGGAGAGGGAAGAGACGGAGAGGAGGGAGAGGGAATGGGGAGAGAAGGAGAGGAGGGAGAGGGAAAGGGGAGAGAAGGAGAGGAGGGAGAGGGAATGGGGAGAAAAGGAGAGGAGAGAGAGGGAAAGGGAAGAGAAGGAGAGGAGGGAGAGGGAAAGGGGAGAGAAAGAGAGGAGGGAGAGGGAAAGGGAAGAGAAGGAGAGGAAGGAGAGGGAAAGAGAAGAGAAGGAGAGGAAGGAGAGGGAAAGTGAAGAGAAGGAGAGGAGGGAGAGGGAAAGGAAAGAGAAGGAGAGGAGGGAGAACGAGAGGAGAGATAAGGAGAGGGTTTTAAAAGAGAGGAATGAGCAGGAGACAAGGGGGAAGGAGAGACGAGAGGAGGGGAGAGGGAATGAGAGACGAGAAAAGGAGAGGAGAGAAAAGGAGGTAAGAGAAAAGGAGGTAAGAGAAAAGGAAGGAAAACAGAAATTGAAGGTAAAGGAGAAAAGGAGAGGTGGGACGCAGTGGAGAGTGGAAAAGGTGAGGAAAGTAAGGGCAAGGAGGCTAGGATAGAAAGGGATACTAGGGCGACGGATAAGCATGACAATACGAAGGTGCGTGATGAGAGTAAGACGCATGATGGTGGGAAGAAGGAAGAGGGATGGGAGGATGGGAGGGGTGAAAAGCTTAGTCGAGTTTCTGTAAAATTAGAAGAGAAGGATATGAGGAAGGAGGAGGGAAGGGGTGTGGGGAAAGGGGATGGAGGGCATGGGAAGCGGCAAAGGGAGCGTGAGTGCAGTGAGGAGGAAACATCAAATGATAGTGATTCCAGTGAGGGTGATTCTAGTGAGAGTGATTCTACTGAGGATAGTTCTCAGGAGGAAGGATTGAAGAAGAGGAGGAAAAGGGGCGGAAGGAAAGAGGACAGGAGAGGAAAGCGGGTGAAGGGGAAGAGGAAAGGGAAGGTGAAGGGGAAGAGGGAAAAGGAAAAGGGAATGGAAAAGGGGAAGAAGAAATCTGGGAGGGAGAAGGAGGGGGATGAGGGGGTCAAGGCAGGGAAGGCAACAAAGAAGGAGGTGGAGGAGGTGGAGGAGAAGGAGGAGGGAGGGGAGGAAGAAGGGGAGGGTATGAGTGCAGAGCTGCTGGTTCTGACAGAGAAGAGGAAGAAGTGGCGGCAGGACTGGCGGGAGATGAAGGTGGTTGCAAGGGAGACCGAGAGGGAGCGAGAGAAGGACAGGCAAAACGAGCGGGAGAGCGAAAGGGAGAGAACGGAAGCTGGTGCTGCAGCAGCAGCGGCAGTGGCAGTGGTGGCAGCTGGTGCGGCTGGTGCTCCTGCTTTCCCCGTCACGCTCCCTGCAAGCCCTTCCTTTCCCCCATCCGCCCTCCACTCACTTGTGTCTCCCCCACACACAACAGCCCATATCCCAGGCCCGCCTTTTCCTGGTGGAGGGGGTTTTCCCAGTAGTGGGGGGGCTTTTCCTGGTGGCAGTGGCGGTTTGTTGCACACCCCAGGCGTTCCAGCCCCCCTTGTGGCACCGCATCATGCCCATGTCAACCCCCTTGCACCGCATCAAACACACACCAACCCGCTAGTGGCACACCATGCACTGCTGCAAGCCATGCGTGCTGCTCCCCGGCCCCCCCACTCTGGCTCTGCTCTGCCCCCCGCTCTGGCGGGTAGCGGTATTGGCATGAGTGGTATGGGTGGAATGGGTTTGAATGTGGTTGGGCTAGGTACTGGTGCCCCTATGGCCCAATTCGCTGCTGCGGCTGCTGCTGCTCGTGCTATTGTGAATGCCAAGGCGATTGCTGCTAGAGCCGGTGCTACTGCTGGCGCTGCTGCTGCTGGTGCTGGCAGTGATGCTTTAGTAGCTGCCGCCGCTGCCGCCGCTGCTGCTTTAGCGTCTGGTGCTGGCGTTGGTGGTGGTGTTGGGGGTGGTGTTGCTGCTGCTGCAACGATTACTAACCCTGCTGCTGCTCCTGCTGCTCTTGCTGCTATGCCCTCAGCTGCTGCTGCGGCCCAAGCTGCCATGGCTGCTGCTTCTGCTGCTGCCCTCGCTGTGGAGCGTAGGCTCGGCCTAGCCTCTACCTCTGCCGAAGCAGGTCCTTCCCGAGCCTCCGCTGGTGGTTCGGCCGAACCTGGAACTGGCTCTGGTGGTTTGGGTGCAGGTGGTGAGGTGGAGCGGCAGGAGGGGGAGGGAGCAGGGGAGGGAGATGGGGAAGAGGATGGGGAGGGGAGGGAGGGGAGGAGGAGGGCACAGTTTACAGATGAGATAGAGGGAGGAGAAGGAGGGGAGGGTGGGGAAGGAGAGGAGGAGTGGGAGGAGATGGAAGGGGATGAGGAGGAAGAGGGAGAGGAGGGGGAACAGAGGAGGGTCAGGAGGAAAAAGAAGGGAGTGGTGATTGACGATCGATACCTGGTGGATGTGAAGGACGTGAAGAACAGGTGAGCTGATTTTTGCGCAGCAGAAGCAGCATCCAGCTCTGTTCTGCCTCCCTCTACGTGTATTTTGAGTCGACTCAAAATACACCTAGACGTGAAGAACAGGTGAGAGCAGCCGTTCTAGTACTAAAGTAAGCATTATTTAGGTAGAGGCAAGGGGAAGAAGAGGAAGGGGATAGTGATTGATGAACGATACCTTGTTGATGTGAAAGACATGAAGAACAGGTGAGCTGATTTTTGCGCATCAGAAGCAGCATCCAGCTCTGTTCAATCAGCACAGCCTCCCTCGCCACCGTCCAATTACTTTCTGACTTGATGTGTGAAGCAAGCAATCAAAGTCATGTGTAGCAGGAGCAGCATGAATCGCTTTCTTAGTCAATCATCCTTCTCTCCCTGACTCGCAGTGTGAAAGAAGCAATCAAGGCAATGCGCAGCAAGAGCAGCATCAACCGGCGGGTAGCTTCGATGACCACTCTTGCTTCATTTCCCTCTTCCCCCACCATTCTCTCCCCTACTGGCAGTGTGAAAGAAGCAATTAAAGCCATGCGCAGCAAGAGTAGCATCAACCAGCGGGTAGCCTCGATGACCACTCTGGGCGTGTCAGGGCCGGCAGCCAGGGCAGCGGAGCAGTCAGAACTGGCAGCCAAGAGGGAGAAAGAGAAGGCTCAGCTGGAGTTGAGGAGGAAATACTACGGGCTGCCTTGATCCGAAATATAGGGCCTTGTGGGTTGGGGCAGCATCAACCCCTGTGTTGCCTCCCTCACGAGTCATCACTCTGGGCGTGTCAGGGCCGGCAGCCAGGGCAGCGGAGCATATAGCATTGGCAGCCAAGAGGGAGGAGAGGGAAGCATCTACAAATAAGCCAACGAATTTATGTGATAGTCTTTGCACTTCAGGAACATATACATGTTGCGGGTTCGCCAGACGCGATACGCCAGTTAACCAACTGCAGGGGGACCTGAGGCGACCTTGCACCCTGAAGTCGTCGTCACGTCAGCGAGGCACACCCAGCTGGGCGAAGGTGTCTGCGACTAAGTTACCGCATCGGCTAGATTCGTTCTCATTATACAAGTTCGTGACTCATGTCTCGAGATTGTCTTGTGCATTTCCCCCATATGCCCGCCATTACTCCAACCATAAAAAAATGCTGAAATCCCCCAGATTCAAAGTACCGTAAACAATACAGCCTTGGAACAAGCCATATGGAAAATATGTACTGTGCTGTATCCCTTACAAAGCACCCCATGCGGAAGTATAAGGAGCTGCTCCCTCTTCTCTCATCCATCTGTCATGTCCCACCTTTGATGGGGTCATGCGCTAAACCCTTTATTTTAGTCAACTCAAAAATAGGGTCATACGCTAAACCCTTTCTTGTAAACCCCGTTACCACTGACAACAAAACCCCTCCTAGAGCACCAGATCAGGGAGCAGCAGCTGCTGCTCCCTCTCCTCCTCGTCCTCCTCATCCATCTGCCGCAGCTCCGCAATCCTCTCCCTCCACATGCCCTCCACCACCCTCCACGACTCGTCGCTCACTGCCTGCACCTGCTGCGGCCTTGGCGCTCCGTGAATGCCCCACCTGCCCCGGTGCACTGGCACTGAGTACTCGTCTATCGGCCGCGCTGGGGCCTGTTTGGTGGTGTGGGGGGAAGTGGGGAGGGGGCGGAAGAGGGGAGGCAATGGGTGAATGCCCCACCTGCCCCGGTGCACTGGCGCTGAGTACTCGTCTATCGGCCGCACTGAGGGCTGTTATTCGGAGGGAGAAGAGAGGGGGATGAGAGGAGATGTAGGGGCACAAGGGGAACGGGGGGAGGTGGACAAAGTACTATAATCACACACACGCACACACGCACACACGCACACACACATATACCGTATTTACCCGGGTAATGGACCCGCCAAAATTATAGACCCCCGGGTCGTTAAATGGGGGGGGTCTAATGCTACATGCAATTTCGTAATAGACCCCCCTTTCAGAGACGTCATCCGGATTAGACCCCTCCTAACTGTAGACTGCCTGAATTCGGATCAGACTGTAGTGAGGCACTTGGTCAAGGAAGCGCGAAAGTTTGCTGATTGGAGCAGATTCACCGCGCGTCAGTCTCGCGTCAGTCCCGCGTCAGGCACGTGGTCCGAATTTCGCTGACGCATTATCAAAGTGATTGCATTTCGTTATGTACACTGCAGGTATTTGACATGACTTCGAAATATATACATGTAGGATTGTACCCAGGGTCTATTAAATTTACACCCACTTAATAGCCCCAACCCCCTTTTTTTCCCGGGGTAGGATTAGACCCTAGGGTCGTTTACCCGGGTAAATACGGTACACCTTAACTGTAAACCATACAGCACACGCGCATAGAACTCCCCTACCACATACCTGCGGGAACATGCGAGCAACATCATAAATGCTGTGAATGGCATGGCATGGCATGGCATGGCATGGCATGAATATACCCTGGCATGGCACAATTCCCTCCCCCTCTCCCCCCCTCCCCCCCTCCCCCCCTCCCCCCTCAAACACACACCTGCGGGAACTTGGGAGCAGCATCATAGATGCTATAGATGGCATGGCATGAGTACATTACATGCACACCATTCCTACTCCGCCTTCTCAACACACCTCCACACGCACACTGTGACACACCTGTGGGACCTTGAGAGCAGCATCATAAATGGTGTGGATGGTGTCTCCTGTCACCTCGCCCTCCTCCCCCTCCCATCCATACAAACAAACACCAGTGCACCCATCCTCCCCCTTCTCTCCCCCTCTCCCCCTCTCCCCCACATACACACCTGCGGGAACTTGGGAGCAGCATCAATGTTGTGGATGGCGTGAAGGTATGCACACACACCCCCCGTCGCCCCCAACACACCCACACACGAACCTGTATTGCAAACCAAACCCCGGATATACACACCTGCGGAAACTTCGGATCAGCCAGGGCAACCGGATTCGGAGCAGGAAGCGGCGTGACAGTCGTGCGGTCACGGAATAAGCACTGAGACGCTTCAGAGTGTAGCGTGAAGGAGAGCGACGCATCAGCCATAGGTACACTCGGACTAGTAATTTCACAAGCACCTAAACTGGAAGCACAAGCACCTACACTAGCAACAGGCAAATGTCCTAGGTTATGAACACGCGAGCAAACAGATCCAGCAGTACTATAGTCAACATCGGCATACATCAGG